GGCCAGGCCGAGTTCCCCGGGTGTCCTGCACCGACAGAGGTTCAGGGGGACCACGAGGCCCGGAAGCAGCGCTTGGTGGAGCTGTGGGTGGAGTTCAGCCACGCGATGGACACCCTGCTCTTCCGCCTCTACCTGCTCTTCATGGCCTCCTCCGTCATCACCGTCGTCGTCCTCTGGAATACCTAGGCAGACCATCTCACTCTGCAAACCACAGCTTGGAGTTTGGAGTTTCTTCTGCTCTTAGAGCCAGCCAGACCCGGGCCACTTTCCTAGCCTCAGTCACTCATCCCCAGTGACTACCGTGTCCCCTTCTGTATTCAAAAACTCCAGCCCAGCACTACTGAGCAGAAACGTCCAGAACACCCGGGACCTTCCCAGCTTCTCACATGTCACGGCCTTGGTCCTCCCTGCCACCAGTGTCCCTGAGCCACACTAGCTTCCTTGGAAGTCCAGGGCAGTGGAGCCTCTCTGACTGACCACCCACAGCCTTCCAGAAAGTACCGGCTCCTCGGTATGCGATCCTAGGTCCGGGAACTCTGGGGCAGGGAGGCCTCTTGCAGAAGCTTTGATACTGCACCCTAAATGGATAATCTGATTTGGTTGTACATATTTGAGACACTGTCAGAGTTTTAAAGAATAAAAAGGCCAAGTTTCATTGGCAAGAAATGACTTCGTTTGCAATAAAATATTTACAAATGCCAAAAAGTTCCCTTATCAACCACTTCTTGACCGCCTTTTTATGCTCTTACCCCTGGACAGGTCCCTCCGATTTCACAGCCTCAAAGGGGCCTTTGAGCATGCTGTGATGAGGGCCAAAAAGGCCCTGTTGGCAGGGTCATGTGAAGTGAGTGCCCCTCGGCCACAGGGTGGGATGCCATAGACGTGTAGTGAGGCTATAGATGCATATCTGGGCTATAGACACAGGTCTATGACATACGAAGTGAAGAAAACAGCTGCCAAACAGCATGGGTGCCTCATTTCTGCAAGCAAAAAGATAGATAGGGCCAATAGGTGGCATCGAGGTTAAAGGGCTGGATCGCACATGGCCAACTCCACGGTTCAAGTCCCAGACTTGGCAGCTTGGAAATCATGCTGGGCACATGTATGTGCGTGCCCAATATCCTGAGAAGATGGGATTGCTACGTGGCCATCACTCTCGGGTGACTTCTCACTCCCCCTTTCTCTCTGTCTCTCTCCAGCGAGTGTATGTGCCCAATAGCAAGTATCTTTTAAAAAATAATTAAATAAATAAAATTAAATGAACAAAAAAGAGGTAATAGATGGGCTAGTAGAAAGAAGTGGAGGGGCCAGCAGGTGGTGTGGTGGTTAAGGGCGCTGGATCCCACGTGGCTGACCCATGGTTTGAGTCCTGGCCTGGCAGCTTGCTTTCTCCCTTCCTTTCTCTCTCTCTCTCTGTGTCTCTCTCTGTTCATATTAACAAATAATAACAAATAGAATTAAGTAAATAAATAATTCTTTTAAAAAAAGAAAAAGAAAGAAATGGAGAGAGATACGTGGATGACTAGATATCAAAACATTAGCAAACGCTGTCTTGGACAATAGGAGTAATTACTGTTTTCCTTTACGTATTTTTTTGTGTGTCTTCTGAATTGTTTTCAGTGAGCACGAATTACTTTTACTATAGAAAAAAAGCAGTACCAAAACTACAGTTTAGAAAATATTTCACCAAAAGAAAAAACAATACCTCATACCAGGGCCACAAAGTGGCATAGTTGTTAAGGTTCTAGACTCTCACATGGCTGACTATGATTTGAGTCCCGGACCTTGCAGCTTTAATATCACACCGGGCACGTATGCATGAGTGCCCAAAATCCCAATAGGAGAGTGAAGGAGAAAGGATTGTGGTGTGGCCACCCCCTCAGATGTCATTTCTCTCTCTCTCTCTCTCTCTCTCTAGTAAGCATATGCACCCTATGGCAAAAATTTTTTTAAAAATAATACCTCACATCTTCATCAGCAGATAATAGCGAGCTGGGATCACAGCCCACTGCAGAGACAGGAAGTGAAAAGGGAAGAGAAAGAATACCGAAGACAAGTCTCTGAATTATATTTCAACTAGGTGACTATGTTCCAGGGATTTATTTACATGTCTGCCTCCTCTCAGAAGGTGTGCTTTTCTAGAAAAACCAAACAGAGCGAGAGGGGGCAGAGACGCGCTGAGCGGCGGCAGAGGCCGAGAAGCGGGGTCGGGGTGGACCAACCAGGGACCTAGGCCAGCAGCCATGGTGGCCGGAGGGATCCTTAAGGAAGACTTCCATTTGGTAATTCATTTAATCCATGCAAGTGAAATTAAGAAACAGTGGACATAGAAAATGAACAGATACTGAGTGTAAACCCCACCAATCCTGATCATTTAAGTGACTCTCTTTTTTCTGGTGATGGAAGATAATACTGGACTGAGGAAATAAATGAAATAAATGGAAATTGGATTTCAGCATCCTCCATTAAAGAAGCTAGAATTAACGCCAAGGCAAAAAGACGACTATGGAAAACTCGTCCCGGGACTCTCACTGATAATGGCAGTGAGACCCTTAGAACTGGAGTATCTGTGCCGACCAGTGCAAAGGGAAGGCTGCTGGGTGGGCCGTCCAGATCCGGGAAGGGAAGGGGGTTGCCAAAGAAAGGTGGTACAGGAGGCAGAGGCGTTGGGGTACACCTGGACGGTAGATGATGTGCAGGACGTGGATGTGAAAGATGCTAACTGTGACCATCACCAGGAGAACTGTGTTTATGAAACTGTAGTCTTGCCTTTGGATGAAAGGGCACTGGAGAAGAGCACCACCAATCATACACGAGTATTTTGAGCACGGAGATACTACTGACGTTGCGGAAGTGCTGAGAGATTTGGATCTTGGTGAAATGAAAAGCGGAGTACCTGTTTTGGCAGTGTCCTTAGCACTGGAAGGAAAGGCTAGTCATAGAGAAGAGGCATCTAAGCTTCTTGCTGACCTTTGTGGGGCAGGAACGAGCACCAATGATGTGGAAGGATCATTTGATAAGCTCTTGGAAGATGTACTGAATTAGCACTGGGTCCTCCTAGAGCACCGCCGTTGGTGGGCCAGTTGACTGCTAGAGCTGTTGGAGATGGAACTTTCTGGAATACCTAGACTGATCGTTACAAGGAACTGCAGATTGTGTACAGGCCAGAGCTGCTCTGGGTAAGGCTGCTGTGCTCCCGGTTATGTCCAAAGGTGGAAAGCGTAAAGACGCTGTGTGGGGCTCTGGCGGTGGGCAGCCGTCGGTCGGTCACTGGGGAAAGAGACTGATGCTACTGAAAGGGCACTTCTGTCTGGAGACATGTCTGAAGCCTTAGAGAACTGGAAGTACCTCATTTTCACCATGAGCTTGTATACGAAGCCGTTGTGATGGTTTTCAGGTCAACTGGAGAAAGTACATTTAAGATGATTTGGCATTGATTAAAATCCCTTTGGAAGTCTTCTACCATTACCGTAGACCAAATGAAAAGAGGTTATGAGAGAATTTATAATGAAATTCCAGACATTAACCTGGAGGCTCCACATTCATACTCTGGGTTCGAGCGATCTGTAGAAAATGTTTTGTCGGGCTGGAATAATTTGCAAACAACTCAGAGATCTTTGTCCTTCGAGGGACCGCAGTTAGCGTAATGGCTGTGTCGCTGGGCTCCCACGTAGTTAACCACGGTCCGAGTCCCGGACCTGGTGGCTTAAACTCACGCCGGGCGCGTGTGCGTGCGTGCCCAAGATCCCGAGAGGAGAATGGAGGAGAAGGGATTGCGGCATGGCCATCCCCCCGGGGGGTGATTTCTCACTTTCTGTCTGTCTCTCTCTGTCTGTCTGGCGCGCGCACACGCCCTATAGCGAAAATCTCTCCAAAGGAAAAAAAGAATCAGCATCTGATCTGTAAGAGTTTTTTTTTTGTTTTTTCTTTCTTTTTTTTTTAACACTTGTTTTGGGTACAAGGCATTTCTGAAATTTGATAAGCTTACATTTAAGGGGAATTTTTAAAGAAGTTTTTTCTTCCTTCCTTCCTTCCTTCCTTTCTTTCTTTTTTTGAGAAGAGGGTAAAGGAGGGACAAAAAGTAACCCCTTCTTAAGTGGAATATCCTAACAAGCTCCCTTTTGTAAGAGCCGTGATTATGACCTAATCGTTCCAAGTTGGCCTTGCTGTCTGCCTGCCCCTCCTTTCTTTCAAGGACAGTGCTTTTGAAGTAAAATCACTGGTTTATGCAAAACTCTATTTAGGGGTGACGTTAAGCTGCTAAAACCCCAGTTGTCTGCTGCTGTTGAAATACTGTGTTTTGGGGGTAAGAAAAAAAAAGTTATTTCTTTGTCTTAAAGATTTTTTAAAAAACGAGTTAGTCATGAGACTTAATTCATTTTTCCAGGGAACATATTGATTGGTCTTAAAGACTAGACAGTAAGTGGTGGTTGGAACATCTATTTTTCTACAAAACTGGAAAAATGAACCTGGTTCTCCAAGAATGCACAACAAAGTAAAACATGTGAAGCAGTATTTTTTAAAAAGTGTGCTCTTCTGAAACCGTAGACAATGCTCAGGCACTTGCATGGCTTATGGTCTGGACCCGTGCCTCACCCATAGATGCGCACTGCCGTCCGGGCTTGCTGAATGAAGAAATGAAAGGGGGGGGTGCCAGCCAGCCCTCAGCATTTCACTAGCTCTGGCTGCAACCTCTCTGTCCCCTCCCGATGCATTTCATTTTCTTTTCCACAGTCGATGTGGAGAATTAGCAGCTCATCTTCAACTGTCTCTGAGCTGTCAGAGGTAGCGTTTACTCGCTGGAAAAGACATTCCTGTGTCGGATTCTCCCGTGTCGCCTCCTTTCTATTCCTTGGCACACGTTTCTCACTCAGAAACTCATCCTTGGCTTTGGCCAATAACTTAAAATGAAGAACGTCTACTAAGTCTTCGAGAATCTCAAATTTCTTGAGCTCACCTTTGCATCATTTCTTTTCCCTCCCCATCTTCACATTTGTATTTATCTAGATGTCATCTTGTACTTTATTTTAAGAGAGATTTATGCTATAGGGTGTGTGTACTCATGGGAGAGACAGAGAGAGAGACAGAAGACAGAAAGCAAGACTTCACCCCCAGGGCCATGATGGCCACACCACAATTTTTTCTCCTCCACTCTCCTCTCCGGATCTTGGGTGCGCACGCACGCCTTTGCTTGAAGTTTTTATTTTTTTCTTTTTTTTTTTTTTTGAGAGGTTTTTGCTATAGGGCGTGTGTGCTCTCCAGAGAGACAGAAAGCAAGAAATGACCCTCCCAGGGGGGATGACCACGCCACAATCCCTTCTCCTCCATTCTCCTCTCAGAATCTTGGGCACGCACACACACGCCCCCGGCGTGAGTTTAAGCCACCAGGTCCGGGACTCGAACCACGGTCAACTACATAGAAGTCCAGCAACATAGCCATTACACTAACTGCTGGTTCCCCTGGCATGAGTTTAAAGCCTCTGGGTCCGGGATGCGAACTGCAGTCAACTACATGGGAGTCCAGCAATGGAACCATTTCGCCATCTGCTGGTCCTTTGACTTTAGATTTTCTGTGCCAAGACCATCATTTGGCAATGCCCTTTGCAAAATAATATTCTTCGAGCAC